ATGCCAAAGGAGGAGGGCAGGGGGAGGCCCGGTCGCTGGGATTTACTGCAGTGGGCAGGATGCTGAGCGGGGGCACTGGAGGAAACCTGGTCCGTTTTCCTGGCTGCTGTCAAAGCTCTTGACAGATGGCGTGTATCTGGCCGTAGAAAGTGTGCAGACAAACAAGAGGCCAAGGGAAAAGGAGTCACCGCCAGCCAGGGGCAAGGAGCTGACCGGCTGAAGACTCAAAGAGCATTTGGCCATTTTCCCAGTGTTTTGACACCTCTGTGAGAGACACGGAGTGGAGGAGTCGGGCACAGGGCAACTGCCCCAGACGCATTTTGCCACGTAGGGTTGGGGGGGGGTCTGCGGAGCTGCTGGCACCGACCTGACTCCAGCGCCCTTTCCAGCCTCCCTCTGTGTCACCAAGCCAGGCTGGTGAGGCTTTTCGGGCCAGGCGACAATAACATGTCAAGGAACAGGGCCAAAAGGGATGTAAAAGCTCAAACAGGGAATTTCCTGAAGCTTATCGGCGTAAAACCCAATCTTTCATGTCCCAATCATGCACTCATTTGAACTTAATAGTGTCTGTATCTGTCACGCTTAAAAACAGTCCTAATCTTTGCCTCTCAATACTATCTATATTTGGAATAGTAACATAGGTAGAGAAAGAATGAAGTTGGGTTATTCGTGAGTGTAACAAAGCACAAAACACTTGCTGATTGAAAATCAGGAACCTTTATTCATTACAACTCATTTCACTAGGAAAACGATTCTATATTTGGTTGTGTGGAGTCACCAGATTAGTCCCGCAGCCTCTCCGATTGTTTGGCTTTCAGTCTTCTTGTTTTACATTTGTTTCCTTGTCTGCGGCATTGCAAAGTGAAAAAAAAAAATCATTCAGCTCTCATGGGGAAATGAACTGAGGGAGCTCAGTTCATCTCGAGCTTACCTCATCTGAGGCCTTTTTTGCAACTTTCGCTATTAATGTACAGTTGAGTTATTATGGTTATTAATGTACAGTTGAGATCAGAGCTTTGCTGTACTTCCTATTATCTACTCCTACCTAAAAACTGTTTTTTCCTAAAGTGAGAAGATGGTTGTGTTTGGAGGGATTTGTGGGTTCTGTCCAGGTAGGTTACAGTGGGACATTGGTTGGTGGCTTGTATTTTTACAGCAGAAATTATCAGGAAAACATTTAAAATTTGAACTGTACAAAGCCAAATTCTGCTCTCATTTACACCCTGGCAACCCTGCTCACTTCAACACAAGGCACAAAACCAGGGCAGAGTTTGGCCACAGCTCTTTAAACTTGCTTCATTTGTTTATTAATGGGATTGAAACATGCCTGTAAGTGACTAATCCCTGAGCCCTGGGAGAAACATGCAGGGAAGAAGACGATTCTTACCAAAAGACCTCAGATTCAGTCTTCCACCTATCCTCCTACCATACCACCTGACTTTTCCTTCGGGGAGGACAAAAGGTTTACAAGGAATAAAGGAAATTTATTCCATGTTGCTACTCCTTAGAAAGTCACCAGTGTGTGTAGGGAGAAAGGTGCATGGCGCTTCACAGGTATAACGGCAACTCCTCAGTTTTGAAAGGCTTACTCACTAAGATGAAGGTGGAGAGGAGAGGAAGGAAGGCTGTTCAGTACCTTGGCAGCTTTTCTCCTAGTTCTGTATTTTATTCTTCCACATATTAAAGGGTGAACGTGGCTTTTTTTTTCTGTAGTGGGAGCTAAATTAAGATCTTCCAAGTAAAACGGAAAGGTGGAGCATATTGAATTAAAACAGTGTGTCAGCCAAGAGGATATTTAGAGACAGTGTAGGTTTCCAGAAGGTGCTACAGGGCATATTCATGACAAATAGGTTTAGTTGGCAGCTGGCCACTCATTTCCTTTGCGTTTTTCTTCAAAGATTTTCATAAACAGGAGGTCTGAAGCTGGGAGTAACTCAAGATCATTCTGATTTCTGAATTTCCTTTGAATTTATTTGTTGGGAATTCTGGAGCATGTCACTAGTAGTAAGTAAATTCCTTTATGTGGTTGACCCTGTCTTTGCTTTGGACTAGC